AAGGCCAATATAATCATAAGTCGACTGCTTTGGGGTTTTATTTGTCTGTTTAAATGTTTCAGGTTTTGAAACACTTCCTCTCCTGATTTGATCAAAGAAAAAAAAAAAAGAAAAAAAAAAAGATGTGTGTCAAGGAGACATGCGCCTTCAAACTCCATCCAGTCAGGACACCATGCTGAAACAGGCACAAGAGATTTGCTTTTAAACCTCAACTCAGTTTTTCTATGCTAAGTTACTCTGGATGTTGTAAAGACAACATATAAACATTAGGCCCCCACATTAGAGGAAAAGAGCCTAACTGTACAGCTAATATCTAAAATATTTTCTAGAGATGAGCTTTTTTTTTTTTGAAGTTTTTTAGACAATTAGAATTAACATATAGTGACTCTATACAAAACCTTGTGTCTTTGAAGGGAGGAGAGCACACTCCTGTTAATCTCTAGGTTAAGTAACTCTTTCTGTTTTAATCCAAGAAGTATGAAAAAGATACCAGTCATACATTATCTAATGAAGCTTTCTGTTATTTTCTTTCTGAGGGCATGCACACCCCAACAAAACATGCAGATTGTGTCTACAATTTGACAGCCATCATGTGCATTATCCAGTACTCTGCAGGGATGAAGTGTCTTCAGAACACAGGAAAATATACCAGATAAATTCCTCATGGACTGTCAGCAAATGTGCATAGCAACTGATTAACTAAGTTTACAAAGTCAACCAGCATCACTGTTAGCAGCCTGCATAAGGTTCAAATGTCAATCCTTCCTGAAACAAAGAAACTCTTATTTAGCGATGTAGAGAAAGACTGAATCTTTTTTTTTTTTTTTTTTTTTTTTTTTTTTTAAGGGGGGAGAGAGGGGGGAGAGAAAGAAAAATCACAATACTGAACAAAATATTACTTCTATGGTAAGATTTCCTAGAGAGCAAGGAGGTATAAGAGATGACAATCTTTATTCTATTGAAAACATAGACATCATGTGCAGACTAGTAGACTTAGTTTTTTAAAGAAAGATTAAATAAATACATTCTTTCAAAAGTTCCTGTGGAAGGTTATATTTGTCCTTGCTAAGTAAATATATATGTTATAGTAAGTAGACATCAAGCTGAAATGTGAAAGCTTTAGTTCTGTTCCTCACTTCTGCTCTAGCGCTTTGCGAAGACTTTCTTCTATATAATCTTTCCAACTCAGATACCCTGCAGAAGACAGCCAGGACTGACGAACTGAAGTTGACTGATTTTAATATAAAATGGGTCATCCACCTCATTCTCCTGTCAGTGGAGCAAAGCAAGTGATTCTGGAAAAAGCACAAGAACTGTAAATCTAACAACAATAGTTGAAACACTAGTTTAATGGGAGCAATAATAATACCAACCAAAAGAAAAAAGAAAGACAACACAGAATCAGAGCTCAGTTTAATGCTGCAAAATTTCTTGCAAAGTATTTTAATCTGATGCATTCACAGTTCTTTATTTAAAAAAAGAGTTTTGAATGTTATTCTTCCTTTCACAGGCATGGAAACGGGTTCAGATCAAATAACTTGCACAAGGATACTCATGAAATCTCTGTAATGTCTGATCTGGGTTCTGTCTTCTGACTACTACTACTGAGTCTTAACAACTCCCTCTTTCCTCTGCAAACCCGCAGGCTTCAGCAAACAAAGCATTCCTTATAGCTAATTGGTATTACATGGAAACTCAACTGCTCTTATTTACAAAACTACAGATTTATGTCAAGCAAAGCCAATTATGCTTAATGTTTAAACTATTGCAGGTGCTCAATGACATTGTTGCTAGGCAGTAGAAGTGAAATTGCTCTTTTAATGCATCTTGTTCCAACTGGGAGCATGTGTTTTATCATCAGTGCAAACTTAACAGATGGAGATCTTAATCCTTACCAGTGAGCTCTTTTCACCCACTCTCCCCTCAAAATGGTGTCCTGTGCATTTAAACGTAACAGAGGTGCTCAGTGAGTTGTATGGGACAGAACTTTTTTTTTTTCCTCTATGTGCTTACAAAAATGCAATATAAAACACATGTCTAACCCTAAAAAACCATCAAACCAACTCACATAACACCAGCAATACACATGGCTATTCAAAATTAATAATGACCTCCTCACAATGCAGCAGCTACCAAAATAGCTTGGACAAGAGTTGGTCAACTGGTAGACAGCTGATAGACAGCACGTAACTGAATGAGGATGTCATCTATTCCTGGCAAAGGAACCTCCCTTAGGAAGTGATTTTTTTCCACACACTATTTCAAAACTATAATGCATTATGAGTGAAAACACATGCTACACCTTGTGCAACACAACACAAACAAGTTCTGAAACATAGGCAATCTGAATATTTTGTTATCTCTTATGCAAATTGTCATAGGTAAACAAAATACTAAATACAAGAAGGCTATCTTAACATTTTAAAGCTGCTTGTTGCTTTATTTCATATGCACACACATCTCCTTCTTTACTCTGTCCCTCCTTTTTTAATGTATTACCCCAGATGCTTGAAAAATCATCTTGTCAAAGACTGAATCTATAGAATACTTCATACCCCAGCATACAATGAAATTGATAAGATTTATAAAACTTAGGCAAGACTACAGGAAACTAGCAGTCACCCTTTCCTTTTGCCATCCATCCAAAAGTCCACATGCATAACTAAGGCTGATAGGAAAAGCTTTTCTCCAGTCAACATGGTGAAGATAAAGTTTTCTACAGTTAAATATTCACCCCAAAGTCCATTCTAACCCTTCTTATCATCCAGCATACATTTTTTGTGATGTCTGCCTAATTGCTTCTTCCTCCAGGGCTGAAGATGCCTGTCACCTTTCCCTCTAACACTATTAGTGTACCAAGGCCTGGCTGCAAGTTGAACTCAGCACTGGGGCGTGATTGTTACCACCTTGAGAAAGAGTTTCCCGACAGTGGAAAACACACCAAATGAGTCTCTTGCAACAAGAGCAAGTTCAATCTTTACCTTAAAAAGCCAGATTTTTTGTCCTCCTGCTGTCCTAAATTCATGCAACTTTTGTATTTTGGGGAAAAAATAAAGTGTTAAAAGGGTCTGTGCCTAATTATACTCATTAGCTCATGTTTCATTTTTCATTTGTACATATCTCATGCTCATGAGAGCATGGGGAAAGAGGGTGCTTCTCACCAGGAGGGCAGGAGCCTGGGTTAGGCAATCAGGCAGCCCTCCTCCCACACATCACTTCCCACAGAGCAAACAACGGATTAGAAGATCATCTCTACCATCAAGTCGCACACATTCCCACACCAGTAAGAAAGTACATCTTGGACACGGAGGATAATTTCAGATGAGCTTGTACCATGACTGTGTATGAAAACCAATGCTGCTTCCATTTCCATCACTGCATGCTATAAACACTTGCTCTTTTTTTCCCATTATAAAAGGTATTAAACGCATTCCACACAAATAACTCCCCTTTCCGCAGTATCTATCGTCATATAGGCTTGAGCTAGTCTCTTAGCCATCTTCTAGTTCTTCTGCTGACCCTCATCTACCCCACCTTTGCTAGTTATTTCCCATGGGATGCATGTCAAATACTTTTCTGAAATTAAGGCACATTATTGCTACCACATTTTGTTTAGAAAATGCGTTCTCATTAAACATAAGCACTGAAGTAGTCTGGCAAATCTTCCTTTGATATATTTGATGTATTTTATTCCATTTTCCTTATATCGCACGACTTTAAATATTCTCTTTTAAAATTGTACAGAAACCTTAAATACAGCGAGATCAAACTAACAGCTCTGAGCTGTCCTGAAGGCCTTCCTTCTCTTTAGATACAATTGCTACATTTTGTTTCCCCCACCTCAGTTCTATAGCTACACCATTAAACAGAGAGGTTATTACTTTTACTGTCTTTTTCAGCACACAAATGACTTCTGTGTCACTTTGGTGCATAAAAATCCTTAAATGTAGTTTCCCCTTTAGTATAGCATTGCTCAAATCAATAAGATTTCTCACTTGACCTCCATTTTCAATATATTCACTTTTACATTAAAGGGTTCCTTTAATTTTTGGATTCAATGTGCACCCTCATAAGTACATTTTTTTTCTCTCATTCTCATTTTAGCAATCTGTCTTGAAAAAAATCAATTGCTAGATTAACATCATTCACAATACTCAAGTTAGCTAATTTTGGCAGTTTACTTAGATTTTTAGATTCAACATTTTTCATTAATAATTTTTCCCCTCATTTCCAATTGCACCCATCTTTTCCCACTCTTTTCCCTTCAACCGCTTCAGCTTGGCTACCAGTAATAATTTTTGTCTCCAGTTCTCCTACCAGATCTACTCTATATAGCATCTTTCAGTGATGACAAATCCCATGGTGTTTCTATTGAAAGAAAGACTTGATGCCTCAGCACAAATATTTCAAGACACACTCTATGGATTTGTTCCCACTATGTAATTTCAAGTGTATGTTTTGGTAGATTTCAGAGCAATTTGCAAGGAATGTTAGTCTGGCTGTGCCTGTCTCACTGAAACAGAAATGAGAGTGACCTGTTTAAGTTCAGATAGCAGATAAGTAACAGAGCCAGGAAGATGTTGCCAAGTGTTTCCCACATTTGCAAGTATCAACCAGTCAACACCGTCTGAAAATTTTTAAATGCTTCTGTCATGAACTAATTTGCTAAAGAAACATATACAAGAGTTTATTCATTTTGAACCACTATTAAATACAAACATATGTGGATACCTATCTCCCTATACAGATTAAAACGGTTTTAAAGCAACCATGCCAAGCAGTGAGCTCTCATGGGCCCCGATGTGCATTAAGGCAGCGCAGCAGCCTACAAGAACAAATCCTATGACACTTATATTACTTTGCACACTTACAAATAACATTATTATTGTTAAGGTAATTCATAAGCACATTGGCAGCTTCACTGAACTACACCATGAAATTTATTGCTAGGAAGCCGGTTAACTAGATTGATTGTATTTCCTAAAAAGGGTGAAATGTTATCAGGTTGTCTCCATAGGAGACAAAATGGGAGAACGGTCCAGGACACTATCATAAAACTTGATAGCTTTTTCATGCTGCAAAGGTTTTTCTTCAGGAAGACTTCCTCTGAACTCTTTGGTGTACTCCTGATTCAGATCGTTGTATCTGGAAGGAGGATGGGAAGACTAATGATTTAAAACAAACAAACAAAATGAACAAAACCAAAGAAAACCAATAATCTTTTTAAGGATTGATTTTTCCCATGGGCTTATTAGGTAATATCTTGAAAGTTATAGCATCTTCCGAGTCTTGAGTTTCTAGCAACCAAAAAAAAAAAAAAAAAAAAAGGGGAGGGAGGGGAAGAAACATTTTCCTATAATTT